CAACAGGCTTCTCTCTGAGCATCCCAGGGCTGCGCTCCGACCTCGCCGCCCCAGAAACTTCCCGGAGGAGCCCTCCCTTGTCCCATCCCTGTCCCATCCCCTTAACCACGTTGGATCCTGGGAATCGCCTCCATTCATGTCTTTGTCTTATCCTTGAACCAAGCCAGAATAGTTCTGCTGTTTCCACCAAGCCGGAGCCCCACAGCCCCATGGCCACCCCCAACCTCTGCTCCACTCTCCTCTCTGCCCTGCCCCAGGCCCTGTTTTGTAAAGACAGCTCCTCTTGTTCCTGCCTGGACCCAAGCGCCGTATTTAATACCGTACGTCCTAGTATTCCAACTGTTGACATGCTGTATTTGAATTTTTTATAGATGTATATATATAAAAAAAGAACAAAAAAATTAACAAAAAAAAAACCACACACACACACGCACACACACACACACGCACACCAGAAGAGACCGTCTTCATTAAACGATCATTTCATGACCACTGACAGCCCTGACGAGTTATTTCACTCTCCAGTCTCAGGGGGCAGGTTTGGCTGCCTGCTGGAGGGCACGATGTTGGGTGGGAGGGGGAGGATGTGGGGACGGTGGCAGCACCCTGAGTGGCTTGAGCCACAGCATCACCTCCCAGGTGATGCTGGAGACCCAGCAGTGTCCTCCAGAGCAAGCCAAGAAGGTCCGAGGAGGCGCTTGCTTGGGTGGCCACCACCCTACATGGTGCTGTGCTGCGGGGTAGCACACAGGGACATGTCCCTAGGGTTCAAGTGTCCCCGGTGCGCCTGGGCTTTGGGTTCCCCCTGGCACCTCGTTGGGAGAACGTGCAGAGAGAACACATAGTGTGCATTAACACACTCTCCTCGCCTGGATAATAATTTCATGTCACAAGAATGACTTTTGCCCAGATGCTTTGAATTTAACTTTCATCAAGGGCAGCTTCAGGAAGGTCAGGGCTCGCCGAGACCCAGCTCAGCAGCAGACTGCGCTGATGGCTGCAGCTCACGATGGTGACACAGGACCTGGGAGCTGCCCTGACTCATTCCCGGAGATCTGCAATCCATGGGCAAGGCCATTGCTTAGTTTCCCTCCCCAGGCTCTCCGGACTGGGATGGTCAGTGGGATGCAATGCCTTTCCAGGTGGGCATGTGATGCCTTTCCTTGCACCAGCTCAAGATCATGGTGGGAGGGGACCCCTGCCCCGTGCCTCCCACTGCTTGACCTTTAATGTTTAAGTTGACTTTTAATGGAGCGATAAAACCCTCCCACCAGCCCCTCGTTGACTCAAATCCACTCACCGTAGAACCTCAGGCCAGGTCCCAGCATCGTGGGGGTTTCCGAGAGGCTCTGCAGGGGGAAAATCCCCCTGTTCCTCCATCAGAGAGGGACGAAGGGTTCAGCCCTGCCTGCGCAGCCCCTCCTTTGCAAGCACCAAGCAGAGACGAGACGCCGTTCAACCTCGGAGAAGGAAAGAGCCTCATCTTCCATGGCCCCTGGAGTCCCAGCAGCATCTTGAGGGGCTGCCATGGAAGCAGAGACACATGTGCAAAGGGCTCTGTGCACTGCACGCAGGGCAGGGGTGCTGGGTCCTCGCAGGGTGCTCTCAGGCATGCCCTAGCAGAGCAGCTACTCAGGATGTCTGAAGTCTCCCACTATCCTAACAGCAATTTTCCTGCCCAGATTTTTTCTCCCAAGGCTGCAACTTTTGTGCCCAGCTGGTGCAAGCTCTGAGTGCACCGTAGTGCACTTTTCATTCCTGATTCTGCAAGGAGGCAGATGATTTAGAGCATCCCTTTTTCTGTGTTTAACCCTTACCAGGGGTTGCTTTCCCATGCAGAGTTGCCTGCCCCCAGATCCACACGTTCTCACACCTCCTGCCCCCCATGCCTGCTGCTTTCCAAGATCCCCCTCCCTGGATGGGTGGACAGACAGATGGGACAGAGCCTGAAGGCAGCGCGAAGCTGCTTGCAGGCACTGGCTGCAATTTGCGCCGTGCGGGGCTGTGCTGCAGGAGAGCGCAGTCCCGCTCTGCCCCTCGCGCTGCCGAGGTTCACTGGTTAATGTCTCATTACCAGACAACATGCCTCCATCATTTATTAATGTTTCATTAGTGTTAAAAACATCTGGTAATTAATTATGCACTAATTATGGATTCACAGCATTAAAAGCCAGGGTAATCTACCATAGCAAATGGCTCTTCGGGCTGGAGGGGAAGGGACATCTCTTAGCACGGAAGAAAATGCCAGGCCTGGCCCTGGCTGGGGGGAAGCATCCCAGACAAGCAGATTAGCTTCATTTTCACCGGAGATTTCCCAGCCAGACCTGCGGGGCTGCCTCGAAATGATCGAAAGGAGCTGTAGGCATCACTGGCTTGCAAAGCAAAAACCTGCCCCTCTCCAGCCATTTCAGGGGCCAAGGGAGAGGTGCTCCAGGTGCCAGGGCAGCAAGGGCCATAGCAAAAGCCATGCAGGAGCAGTGGGTGACACAGAGAGCCCCAGGTGCCCACTGTCCCCTGCAGCCAGACTCCAGGAAGCGGCTGGTCAGGATTAAGCAGCAGTCCATAAAGCAAGAGATGTAGCACAAGCCCACTCGCGAAGTGCCCTGATGATATTGCCTACAGATGTGCCGAGATGTTGCTAACTTGGAAGGTCCCTGGAGAGTGTCCCTGCCAAGCAGAAAATCCATCCACTTAGCAGTATAAATCCATACAGGAAGAAAGACGGAATTACAGCGCTCAGAGAGACCTGCGCATCACATAACATGAAATTCAATACAGCAGCCGGGTGGAACGGGTCCCTGCGTCTCCCCAGCACGTATGTGGCAGTAAATCTCACCTCGGGTGTCATTTTTGGCAGTTGCTGATGCACTGGCATCCCCGCACTGGGTCCCAAGGGCTTGTAGGCTCCAGCAGGGGACCAGGAGAGAAGCAAGGAACTGCTCCCTGACTGCAGCGCTGCACAGGGAGCAGGCAGGAATGTTGCTGGAAGAACCGGCCGAGCAGCAGAGGAGCTCAAGCCTGGTGGGGTCACGGCTCATCACACTTTGCAAAACGTCCCTACAGCTTTGCCAGCTGTTTTATGCTCCCTGTGTTTCTTTGTGGTTGGCAGGGAAGACACTGAATAAAGCCTCAACTTTAGTGCAAGATAAATGACCTTACAAGACCCTGGCTTGCCTGAGACCCCACTGTCACACTCCGCAACGGTCTAGTAAAACACAAAAGCAATTCCCTGAACAGGGAATTGTTTGGTGTGCCTCTAGGTCCCCTGTTCAGAGACATAATGCTGTATGTCCTTGACAGATTGCAGTCTTCCGCACATGGCTTTCTTTCCTAGTCACAGGAGGATGGCACTGGGGATGCCTCTGGGTCCCTGGTACTCACAAGAGCCCAGGCATACTCACACCTCTACAGGACAGAGGCTTCTGGCAGTGTTAGGTGACAGACCATCAGAACAGACTGCCATGGGCCTTTGACTGTCTCATTCTTTTGTGGCTCCACATCAGGGCTGGGAACTGCTCCCAAAGAGGCTTTCAGTCATTTGAAGAGGCCATTTGAGAGAGCCATTTGAAATGGCTTTCAGTCATTTGAAGAGGTCCATCTTATCCCCTCTACCCTGAATAGTTCAGCCCCTACCCAGGCATTGTGCCCATGGTCCCCAGGCATTGCAGTCCGCATCCTCAAGGCCTCTCACCCTTCAGATCACTTCTGGCACCTTCTCATCCCTCTATGGTACTATGGCTGGACATGCACAACCTGCCGATGCCTCCTCACATCCCACACCCATCCTGCATTGGTGCTGCTCCCACTCCAGCCTCCTGCCCCAACCTTCACTGGCTGCTTGCTCTGACCAGGGCCAGCTACATGGGCTGTTTGGGAGCTCCTAATAGCCTCCAAGCCTAGGCTCCCAAAGATGCTTCACATGGCAGCTCAGACACTGAGTTGGGGATCTTTACTGTGTCCTGGGGAAGCGTCCTCAATGCCGAGGTATCCTTCTATGCAAGAAGCATGGCATAGCACAGTTTGGCACCAGTGATCATGGACACAGGGTCCAATCCACTCTCCAGAAATAATGTTTTCATGCACCACCTCACCTTTTGCCCAAATCTTTGATTTTTAACCTCATGCTGGAGCTCACAGCACCTTAAAACTCCCAACATGCACACACAGTAGCTGAGCACAGCCTGAGCAACTCAACTGCAGCACACAGACCAGACCACACCAGGGTCCCCTAATAAGCAATTGACTCTTTTTTCTCCCTTTCAGGAAAAAGCCAAGCATTAATTCGGCTTCTGCCACTCTGTTTATCTAATAGCATCTCTGATTGATTGCCTTATTTATAACCCAGATCCGGTGTCTGGGCTGCTCAACGGAGACGGAATGATTGATGGAAAGAAGACAGCCAGGAGGGGGCTTAATGGAGCTGTGCGGCTGAGCAGTGGAGCAGTGGCTTAGCCATGAAATGTAAGCGTCTCCCAGAAGTCTG